CATATATACATATGCATAGTTACACACATGCTGGAAACTATGTACGTGCTTACGTAGACAAGTATACATATGTAGACACAGGCCGATCGAGTGAAATATTGATAATGTATACAAAAGAGAGCGTGGTAATTACCCCAGCGAAAGGCCCAACCAAGTATAGTTTTGAGTGCCGCCGTTTGTGGGCATCGCCTTACGATGGATATGGTGGTGGGGCAACGAAGCTTGCAAAGGGCATGCCGACATGGGGCGGGGCCGCCATGCGGGGGCTGCTGCTGGGGCCTTAGGTCTACCACCGACCCTTGGGGGCCACGAAACGTGTGAAGGTTGTGCCAAAATGGGGCGGGGCCGCCAGACGAACGTCGCCAGTGGGACCTTCTGTAGGGCCCCCTATATGGCCACGGCGCGTGTGAGGAGTATGCCGAAATGGGCGGAGGGGATGCCTGCGAACGTCGCCACAGGGGACGTCGGTGGAGCTCCTTATGGGGCAACGAAGCGTGTGATTGGTGTGCCGAAATGAGCAGGGGTGCATGCGAACGTCGCCACTGGGGCCTCAGGTGGAGCCCCGTCGCCACTGGGGCCTTAGGTGGAGCCCCGTCGCCACTGGGGCCTTTGGTGGAGCTCCCAATGGGGCCACGAAGCGCTGTACTGTGCCGGGCGGGCGCATGCGAACGTCGCCACTGGGGCCTTCGGTGGAGCCCATTATGGGTCCACGATGCGTTGTACTGGGCGGGGCGGACGCATGCGAACGTTGCCATTGGGGCTTTGCGTAGAGCTCCCCATGGGCCCACGACGCAATGTACTGGCTGTGGCGGACGCATGCGAACGTCACCACGGGGGGTTTGGCTAGAACTCCTTACGGGGCCACGAAACGCTGTACTAGGTGGGGCAGAAGCATGCGAACGTGACCACTGGGGCCTTCGGTGGGGCTTGCCCTCTATGGGCCACGAAGTCTGTGAGGGGTGTGCCGAGCTGGTTGGCATGCGGGGGGGAGAAGCACACAGGGGAGGAGTGAGGAGTGGGAAGAGGAAGAGGAGGAGGAGGAGGAGGAAGAGGAGGAGGAGGAGGAGGAGGTGGAGGAGCGGAGTGCGGGGCGCTGTCTTTCCAACACGAGGACCCAACACCACAGGATGGTTGGGGAAAGAGGAAAACAGACGAAAGAGAGAGAGAGAGAGAGAAAGAGAAAGAGAAAGAGAGCCCCCCCCTTCTCATTCCCCCCCCCCCCGCGCTCGTGCGCGGCGGGTGGGGGGGGGGGCAACCGCTGCCCCTCACATGGCCAATTCTGCGTCGCGCGTGCGTGAGTGCGTATGTCAAAAGGTGAGTGTATGGGTGTATATATATATATATACACATACACGTATACATATTTATATATATATATAGATATGTAGATGGCAACCGCAGTCACCACCCGTCTCCCTCAATCCATGTTGGGCGTGCAGCGCGCGGGTGCCTGCTCCCACGTCCCCTTCGTGTGGTGCGTGGGGGGTGTAAGAGGGCGTGTACTTCCTCCCCACCAACCACAATGGACCAGCCACTGTTTCCTCCCAGCTCGTTCGCTGCGTTGCGCACGTGGAGAACGGTGGTGGGACAGAGAGGGAGAGAGAGAGAGAGAAAGAGAAAGAGAAAGAGAGAGGGTAAGGGGAAGAGAAACAGACAGAGAAGGGCGCCATTCTCCCCTCCGATGTCCTCCTCTGCGTTGTCCGCGGAGGGTCTGAGGTGCAGGTGTGAGGACTAACTACTGCTCGCTTTCATTGCCCACTCTGTGTTGCGTGGAGAGTGTGGGAATAAGAGAGAGAGAGAGAGAAATAGAGAGATAGAGAGAGATAGAGCGCAACGGCTACCCCCTCCCACTTGGCGGAGAGATAGAAGGGACGAAGAGGCAGAAGCAGTTAATAATCCAGGACAGAAGCTAAGACATCAAGCGAAATACATCATGAGCGATAGAAAGGCGAGGGATCGACACAGAGAGTGATGAGCAACATAGTGTGAGAAGGACAGACTCTTGGCTTATTTCGACATCACGATCATCTTCACCACCGTCATCGTCACCATCATCATAATCATCATCATCATCATCATCAGCATCAGCATCATCATCATCATCATCATCATCATCATCATCATCATCATCATCATCATCACAATCATCATCATCATCATCATCAGCAGCAGCAGCAGCAGCAGCAGCATCACCATCATCATTATTAGCATCATCATGATCATCGGCACGACCGTCATTTATTATATTAACGTTAGCATTGCCAAACGATGCTGTAGAACACGTCACACATTTCCACTTCGCAGAAACAAATCAGCAAGGAACGTCGAGAAAAACCGTCGGCCTCTTGGGGGCTTCTGGGGCCGTCGTGGGGCGGTCTTGGGGGCCGCTTGAGCCGTCCTGGACGCTGCTAAGACTAAGCTTGCGAACGTGCGATGCGAGGGGAACAAAAAGCATTCCAACGGGACTTGGGCGAGTCTTGCTTCCCGGGGGGCCCTCGTCGGAGCTCGTCTTGGGGCCCTCTCGGGGCGTCTCTGAGGCCTCTCGGGGCAGTCTTGCGGCCAGGCCCTCTTGGTCGCCTTTGAGGACGCCTCGGCGTGTTGGCGCCCAGCTCGAGCCACCTTAGATGGCACACTGAGCAGAGGAGGAGAAGGAGGAGGAGGAGGGAGGAGGGAGGAGGGAGGAGAGAGGAGGGAGGAGGGAGGAGGGAGGAGGGAGGAGGGAGGAGGGAGGAGGGAGGAGGAGGAGGAGGAGGAGGAGTTCCTGGTACCTCCTCCGGCCCCCTTCCTTTGATGTGATTTTGGCCACTTGGGGAGGGGAAGCGGGGGACGGGGACGGGCAACTGTCTCACACGCCCTGCCACCCACGGCAAGTGGGGATCGGCGGATCATCAGGACGCACGGTGCCCATCATCGGGACTCTGTCACAGTTTAACAAAGTTCGGTTCACATGCATGGCGCAACGAGCACGATGGCAGATGTCATTGCAATGTCAGCCCTGGTCGAGACTGCTTGTGACATCATGAACAACAGTCTACCAGTCGAGGAGACCGTGGCTCCAATTGAAGGCTGCGTAGCTGGAGGCTCCGATTGCAATCGTAGCGCAGCCAGCCTTAAGAAGCGCGCGCGAACTTCATAGTACACAATTGCCAGCACGGGACGTCTGGGTCACAATGGTGCAGCAATCAAAAACCAGCATCGTCAGCAGCGTCAGCATCATCATGTTCACCCCTCCTCCTCGCTCCCCCATTCTCTCATCCACATCCTCCTACCCCTCCTCCCCCTCATTCAGCATCGCTCGTTGCCGTCATGAGAACCATCATAACCGTTATCATCGTCCATCATCCTGCTTCTTCACATCATCACCGATCCAAAGTCCTCGTTCCTCCTCCTCCTCGTCCTCCTGCTCTCCTCCCTCCACCCCCTCCCTCCTACTCAGACCCTACTTCCTGCTTCTTCTTCTCCTCCTCCTCCTCCTCCTCCTCCTCCTGCTCCTTCTCCTCACAGTCCTTCCCTCCAGAGGGGGGGGATATGCGAAGGAGGAGGAGGACGATGACGACGACGACGAGCGAGCGAGGAAGACGAACGGCGATCCCGACGCACGGCGACGAGCAACGACGTAGACCACGACGTAGACCGCGACGACGTCGACGACGGGCAGCGGCGACCACGACGTGGACGTCCACGACGAGGCTGACGACGGCCACCACGACAGGAACGCCACCGCTGGCCAGCTCCCGGCCGGCGGCGCCGGGCCGCGCCGCGATCCCTTGCGCGACCCGCCCGAGGGGGGGGGCCTGGGCGAGGAGGCGCCCTGCTGGCCAGACGTCTGGTGGGCCGGGGGACAAAGAGCATCCTCCTCCTCCTCCTCCTCCTCCTCCTCCTCCTCCTCCTCCTCCTCCTTCCTCCTCCTCCTCCTCCTCCTCATTCTTCCTCCTCCTCCTCCTCCTCCGCCTCCGCCTCCTCCTCCTCCCTCCTCACTTCTCCTCCTCATCATTCCTCTTCCCTCTTTCTCCTCCTCGTTCCTCCTCGTTCCTCCTCCTCCTCCTCCTCCTCCTCCTCCTCCTCCTCCTCCTCCTCCTCCTCCTCCTCCTCCTCCTCCTCCCCGTTCCTCCTACTCGTCGTTCCTCTTCCTCATCGTCATCCTCTTCCTTATTCCTGTCATCCGTGTACGCTCCGCCCCTCTTCCTCATGAAGAACTCCTCGTCGCGCCACCAGACGTGTCTCGATATTGCAGGCAAGGCGTTTCGCCTGATATCTCCTGCCCGTTTGTGACCCCGAAGCTTGAACATTCCAACGGTTACACGGATGCACAGCGGCACATTTTCTGGATGTGGTAATGGACGTTATTGTTGCGCACGTTCGTTTTAAATTCCTAAGTTTCATTATCACCGTACACGGGCCGTTTTCTGAATTATGTTCTTGATTCTGAATCCCCAACATGCAAAGACGGAGGCACTTACTGTTCAACTTGGTCTTATATGTTGAGTTCCTTTGTCTTCCACGGTCCTAGATTAAAGCCATGCAACATATAGAAGGATGAAGTATGTCTCCGTTTCAAAATGAGCACGTCGTCAGACGTACTGTCCAGAACTTTCAGGTTGTGCGGCAGTCACACGGATGGAGGGTGAGTCTGTTCAAGAAGGGGCTCTCGTTTGGCATGTCCTTGAACATCACATGCTTGCCTCTTCGCACCCAACTTGTAGCTATTTGTAAGGATGCAAAGCAACTCCATGTTCAAGGCGGGACACTCGCCTGAATTTCTGCATGGCAGACCCACGGGGTGCTCGTCTTTCAAGCCAGCGCCCCCTGCAGTCAACGGGAACGCTGGTAGACTGGAAGGGGGGGGGGACTTGGGGCTGGAGGGTGCGGTGCTGCATCGCTAATGCCTCCGGGCCGAAGGGCGGAGGAGGGCGGGGGGGAGGGAGCGGTCCGCCGGTCTTCAGACCCCAGAGGTCTCCCGGAGGTCCCTCGGAGGTCCCTCGACCCCTCCGACCCTCAGGATGGCGATCCATCGGCCCCTTGATCCCGTCGACCCCTCGCCAGCCCCTCCGGGCGGCGATCCCTCGACCCCGTCGACCCCTCGCCAGCCCCTCAGGGCGGCGACCCCGTGGCCCCGTGGACCCTCAGGACGGCGAAGCCCCTCGGCCTCCTCGAAGGCCCCTCCGCCCCTCGCGGGCCCCCGAGGACGGCGGGCGCCGCCAGGACGGCCAGCGCCGCCGCGCGCTTCCCCAGCTTGGCCTCGCGGTCGCCGCCGGGCTCGCGGGGGCAGGCCCCGCTACCGCTGCCGGAGCGAGGAGGATCCTCGCCGGTGGCGTCGAAGGGCGTCGGGGGGGGGTCTGTGCCCAGACCTCCTCGAGTCATGAGAAAATCACGACGGGAGGTTTTTCTCTATTTTTCGGCCTCCAGGGGCCCTCACCGGGCCTCAGGAGCGTCAAAAAACGACTCGGGATGAAAAACCGGTCCCGGGGAATGGGTCTGGACCTCTGGGGGTCGCGTCATGAAAAAATCATGACGTCGGGGGTCTGAGTGGTTGGGGGTGGCTCGCCACCGGCCCCCGGCGTCGCCAGCGTTGTTTTCCGGGGGGGAGTTCGTAGTCGACAGCGGCGGCGACGTGCGGCGCGGCTCCCCGGGCGTTGGGCAAGGGGAGGCGATGAACGGGGGGGGGAGAAAGGTACTTTTTTCGCGCACCTTCGGGGCCCTGAAGGGGGCGACTGTCTATCTCGGCGCTCCATCGTTTTACCTTCTGTTTTGCTTTGGTTGCTTCGTTTCGTTGTGTCGTTTTTGTTTTCGGCTGTGCCTGATTTGCTTATTTTGATCGTTCGTTGTGTTTTGCTTCCTTTGCTTCGTTTGTTGAGTTTTGTTCATTTGTTTCGCCTGCAGAAGGAAACCCATACTGAAACCGTACAGAAGGATTCGATATGAAATCCAGACAATAGGAATCAATGTTTGAATCGCCTACAAAAGGAATCCGATTGCAAAACCACACGCAATGATTCTTTTTGTAGTCCACACACACTAGGAATCAATGTGTAAACCGCCGACAGAAAGAATCCGATTGCAAAGCCGCACATAAGGATCACATTGACAATAATCTGCAAGAGGATCCCTTGCGAAGGGGAACGGGAAAAGTCTGGGAGGAGGGAAAAGCAAAAGTGAGGGGGGAGGTTGTCCTCGAGATCCGGCGGCGGAGGTCGTTCGGGAGACCATCAGGAAGGCGGTCTCGAACATCCCAGGTCAGGGAGCCGTGTTCAACGGGGAGGGCGCCGAGGACGCGGTCGCAGCTGGTGACTACAGCAGCGCTGGCAACATTCGCTTTGCTGATTCGCATTACATGTGGACGTGGCTTAACGCTTGGAAAAGGCAAGAAGATTCATGTCCGAGGCCCACCGTCGTTCCACAGCATCGACAAGACGCCTGAGGGGCAGGCTATCAGCCAGAAGACGAGCAGGGCCGCGACGGCGGTGACGGAGATGGCCATCGAGAAGGGTTTGCTCACAATTTCCAGCACCAGACCTGCGAAGCGAGCGGTGGTCCGCAGCGACTGGGACTACGGCATTGCGCGCTATCTTTCGGAGATGGGCGAAATTCACCTCGTCTACGAGATTTCGAAAGGAGGTGATATCTTCAGAGTCGGCGACGGCGCGGCCAGCAGCGGCTTTAACTTAGACGGTCGTTTCGCGGAGAAGCGTCCAGGGATAAATTTCGGACGACGTCGACGTCGATCACGTAGAGTGCGCATGCTACAGGTTGCCTCGTGGAATGTGCGGATAGTTGCCATGAGTACTTGTTCGGCTCCTGCCAACTCATTGATGGCGAGTCTTCGTGGGACACTCATCTCTTGCAGGAATTAACAAAAGACCCTTCGACTGTTCCGGGCACTACGTGCCATGGTCATGCGTTATGTCTGAGCGATTCGACGGGACGCGCAGGACGGCGATCCCAGTTTAACGCCAGCTTCAGGGGCGGGGGTCGTTTCTCTACTGTTGATGCGTGGTGGCACGGCGAATCCTTCTTCATTGTGAACGGCCACATGCCTGCGACCAGGGACCCAGGCCCTGGCGAGTATGAGCTTGGCGCTGTGTTTTGGAGGATACTCCGAGTTTCTCAATAAGCGTCGGGGGTGGCGTCACCCCCGCCGACAGCCCCACATCGACCCCCGTCGCGGGCAGCCACCGCGCACCGAAGGCGCTCCGACCCCCGTCGCGGCGCGACGACGAGGCGAGGTTGACCCCCGTCGGGTGGGTACCTCCCACGCTTGTTGTGAAACCCAGAGTACTCTTCAGGGCAATCGCTACGTGGACATCGCGATTTGTTTAGACGCTCAGTGCGCGACTGGCGACGGATCGAAATGCGCGCCTGACCCCATTGTGCTTTATGCTATGGCCGGGGGAGAACTGCGGGAGTCTGTTCTTGTGCAAGTGGAATATCGCAGCTGACATTAAGTTCGATGGCTTCGATGGAAGAAGCTGCACTTGCGCGTGCGATCTGGGATGCCCACCGAAGGAGGTTGATTACATTTGCGCGTCTTCTCAACTCCGACATCGTCGCGAGACTCGTTCGCTGAACATTCGCGCCACGACGGCCGACCACGGGGGCTTGGCGTGCGAAGACCGACCAAGGCAGGCCGTGAATCCTCGCTCTTTCAGCGCCATGCAGCCCAGCATGCCCAAGCCTGTCGGTTCGAGGTTGGAGGGGTCGTTGCACAACACACTGGCAATGGATGAGTCGGGGCCCACTTCAGCTGCGTCTCACCAGACGTATCTGCCTCAGTTGTGGCACATCTTCGTGGACAGCTGTGCTTCGCGGATAGGGGAACAAAAAGTGACATAGATATAAAGACTCGGAGGTCCGCGCGGATTTCTCGGATCGGCGCTGGGGCCCCCTCCCTGGCGCGCGGAGCGCGCCAGGGGCCGCGCCGGAGGCGCCGCCAGGGGGGCCCAGCACCGATCCGAGAAATCCGCGCGGACCTCCGGGTTTTTATGTTTATGCCACCTTTTGTTCCCCTAGCGGAAACGAGGCCATCGTTGACGAACCAACAACACACACCCATACCCATAGGGGGATCGGAGAGGGCTATGGGTGCGTGTTGTCGGATGGGGGTCCCCGCTCGAACGGGAGCGTTCCCCAGGGTCCGACAACCCGCACCCATACCCATAGCCAGTCCTCCTCCCAACGACCCCCCTATGGGTATGGGTGTGTGTTGCTCGTTCGTCAATCGTGAGAAGCCCGGCTGGGGCACTTCGCCATCCGCCACCGCGGCATCGACAATTCCAGCCCCCGGGGCGAGAGGGAGCACGCGCGCCGAGGCCGAGGGCCGCGCCGCGCGGAGCCAGAGAGGCCGCTGGGCTTCGTCGGGGCCAACGGGCGCGCCGACAGCGCGGGGGAGCTCTCTGCCGCGGGGGGGGGGGTCGGTCGGCGCAGATTAGCGACGGCAGGCCACGGTGTGACAGAGCCGCCTGCACGCCGGCATAGCTATACTATGTCGGCACCCTCAGCCCCCGCGTGGCGGCCCGCTCACCCGCGCCGCGGCATGCTCCGGGGGGTGGCATGCTCCTGTCGACTGGACGTAAGAGTGACTTTTCGCCGGAGTGACCTCTGGCGCGGGAACAGATGGGCTCCCAGATGGCCGAGAACGAGGCAGGAGCAGCGGCCTGCGCGCCTCGGTCTGGTCCCCCCGCGGCGCCCCAAAAAGCCGCGCAGCAAGGGTCACTCTTACCCAGGGTCGCTCTTGCGTGTAGCCGATCCTGCGATCGGGCTACCTCGCAGTCGGCGGGTGACGCTGAGCTCGGCGATGTTCCCCTCGGCAGTCCACGCGCAGGGAGCGGCGCGGCAGTGCGCCCTTGCTGCCACACGCGTCATCGGTCTGACGACGGTTCTTTGCAGCCCGCGCGAGAACGTCGACATCGGGGCGTTGACTGCTAGGCGGAGAAGAACAAGAGATCCCCGACCACACCTCAGGATACGTTCGCATTGGGACGCGAGGGCGGACGCAGAGGAGGAGGTCTTCGGCTGGGGCGAGAAGATCGAGGCACTCACTCAGTCCTACCAGGAGTCGCTCGCACCCGAGATCCCTGATGAAGTGCCCGCTTGGATTTCCCAGCTGCTGCCGGTCAGAGATCCGTTCGAGCTAGCCCCCCATGGCCACCTCGCCGTCGAGTGAAGCGCTCCCTCAGATGTTTGTAAAGAAGTCGCGCAGCCAGGGCCATTGTGGCCGAGATGCCGCGTACCCTGGACGATGCCGCGCTGGATCTTGTCGCCGCTGCTCTCCGCCGCAATCCACGAAGTGAGGAGGAGACGAGATCGGGGGCATCCTGGGCCACTTATGGTTCCCTGTTACCAGAGATGTCAGGAGGGAAAAACACACACAGACACAATTAATCGTCGATTCCCCGGAAAGTATGGGAAAATATGGGAAATGGGGGGGAAGACAGAAGCCCAGAAAATATGGGACCTGGGGCCCCTTCAAGATGAAGGGGGGGAGGGCGCTCTTACGGCATTCCCGCCCGTTCGCCGCGCTGCCCGTCGCTTTCAGGCGGTGCAGCCGCGTTCTCCCGCCGCGAGGCGCCTCTGGCCGCGCGGCGGCTGCCTCGCTGCCATCCTGCGCTCCGTGAGCATTTTCAAGCAGGGGCTCCTCCTCCTCCTCCTCCTCCTCCCCCTCCTCCTCCCCCTCCTCCTCCCTCCTCCTCCTCCTCCTCCTCCTCCTCCTCCTCCTCCTCCTCCTCCTCCTCCTCCTCCTCCTCCTCCTCCTCCTCCTCCTCCTCCTCCCTTCTCCTCCCTCCTCCTCTAGGGCCGTCGGTGGAAAAGCGTCAAGCAGGAGGCGGGGGTTGGGGCCGTCAAGCAGGAGGCGGGCCAGCAGCTCTCAGATCTAGATATGGGGCGCCGACAGAGCGCGCGATGCGTCGTGCCCTGCTCGCCTATGCGACGCGCTCGGGCTGGGCAGGCCCCCGACATTCTGATGGCAGCACGGGTGAGGGGGCGGAGGGAGATGGGTTCTGCGCTCGACCTGGATCAGCTGACCCAGTCGAGCCCAATGCGAAGGAGCAGATCGCCATCGCGAGGAGGCCCTGCCGCGCCTGAACTTCTTCAGGGTGGGCGTTTTGGGCCCCGCTGGCGATGGAGCTCGCGGGCTGGCGCCTGCGGCGAGGGCCTGGGTGTTTCCTGGTCGACGGCACCCGCGCCACTGCCACCCTCTCCGCATGTGGCTATCTTCTCGGGGCCCCGCGCAGATCGGGCCGATGCTTAGCAGGAGGGAAAAAACACACACAGACATACTGAATCGTCGATTCCCCAGAAAATATGGGAAAATATTGGAAGTGGGGGGGAGGACAAGAACCCCGAAGATATGGGAAAATATGGGGAACCCTGTTACTAATGTGTATTTGTGTGTGTATGTGTGTCCTTGGGCCCCTTCAGTATAAGAAGAGAAGAGCTACCCTCGCGCAGCGCGGCTTCAGGATCCCAGCGAACGAGTGCGCCGGGGCGTCGACGATCGCCTTCGGCAGAACAAGGGGGGGACGCCCTGGAGCTCGGGACGAGGAGGGGGAGGTCGTCGTCCGCCGCTCGGATCGGAAGGAAAGCTTCAAGGAACAAGGGGGGGCGCCCTGAAGCTCGGGACGAGGAGGGGGAGGACGTCGTCCGCCGCTCGGATCGGAACGAAAGCTTCAAGGAACAAGGGGGGGCGCCCTGAAGCTCGGGACGAGGAGGGGGAGGACTTTTGATCGTCACTTTCGAGAACACCGACGGACGTGCTCTCCAGCTGAAGCTGGATAGTGCGTGGATCGCCCTCGCGGCCAGGCGCCGTCAAGCGCGCTGCCGGCGCGCTTCCCTGCTCGAAAAGACGGTGCGTCCTTGCGTTTTTGTGGAGGGGCGCCATGCCGCGGGGCCTTCGGTCGGGCCGGCTGGACAAGATGGTGGCCACGCAGAGGCAATGCATCGGCGTTTGCTGTGTCCTCGGATTGGGGAACGAAGAATGGCATAAACATGAAAACTCAAAGTCCGCGCGGATATCTCGGATCGGCGCTGAACACCCCTCCCTGGCGCGCGGAGCGCGCAAGGGGCGGCGCCGGAGGCGCCGCCAGAGGGGTCCAGCGCGGAACCGAGAAGTCCGCGCGGACGTCCGAGTTTTTATTTGTATGTCATTGTTCGTTCCCCTATCGGAAGCGGCCACGAGAACTAAATGAAGATTTCCAGTGTCGCTTTCGCAGCAAACCGAAAGTAGATCGAGAACGGTCTGGCATTGGCCTCTGGGAGAAGTATTATTTTCAACAGTTCTACTCGTGGACTGGCCACTTGGCTAGAATGGAAGAAAGGAGTGACGTGATGAATCTCGTCTGGTGGAAACGCTGCTTAGGAAGAGGGATGTCGACAATCGGGATAACTTAGAGGGGTGGCTCGGGAAAGGACGGGAGTGACACGGTAGACATCTCAAGATGTGGAGGTGGGAAAGCACGCTAATCAGAGATATAAGTTAATGTTGCAGAGTGAGGCGTAAATGTTGGAAAGTGAGGCGCGACATATTGAGAGTTGGGCTCTGGGCATTGCGGATGTCTTGTTGCATTTTGCAATTATCCGATTATCAAAAAGTCGGTTCTTCCTGTTTATTAGACTTCTGTCAGTTAGGTTTTTAGGAGAGCAGGCACCTCAACCTTATCATCATCATCATCATCATCATCATCATCATCATCATCATCATCATCAGCACCATCAGCATCATCAGCATCACCACCACCATCATCATCATCATCATCATCACCATCATCATCATCGTCATCACCATCATCATCATCATCATCGTCATCATCATCATCATCGTCATCGTCATCGTCATCGTCATCATCATCATCATCATCATCATCATCATCATCAGCATCAGCAGCGTTTTCCTCTCGCTCGCCCGTCTTCTTCGACAACGACGCAGCTGCCGACGACGCCGTCGCCGAGGACGCCGCCGACGACGCCGGTGACGCCGACACCACGGACGCCGACGCCGCCGCCGACGACGACGCTGACGACGACGACACGTTCACGGCCCAGCCCCTCGGAGGAGCCGCGTGGCATGCGGAGAGCAGCGCTTGGCCCCCGCCGCTCGGTGAGCCGCACGCCTTTTCAGGGGCGCTCTCTCAGGACGGCGTCGTCGTCGGTCGTCGGTCGTCGTCCTCAGCGTCGTTGTCGGCGTCGTCGTGGTGGTGGTGGTCATCGTCCTCCTCGTCCTCCTCGTCCTCCTCCTCCTCCTCCTCCTCCTCCTCCTCCTGCTCCCCCTCCTCCTCCTCCTCCTCCTCCTCCTCCTCCTCCTCCTCCTCGTCCTCCTCCTGCTCATCCTCCTCTTCCTCCTCGTCGTCCTCTCCTCCATTTGCTCCTCGAGCTCGCCCTGTTCTTCCTCCTCCTCCTGCTCCTCCTCCTCCTCCTCCTGCTCCTCCTGCTCCTCCTCCTCCTCCTCCTCCTCCTCCTCCTCCTGCTCTCTCCTGTTCATTCTCGTGATCCTTCTTCACCTCCTTCAAACTGCTGCTGCTGGTTTCTCACAATGTTCCTCCTCCTGCCGACGAGGGTAAGGCTTCAAGCGGAGGGAACCGCACGTATGAGATGCAGGCTGGCCCAAAAGGAGTTCCCTTGGGGCTATTCAGATGCTTCTAAGCAGGAAGCATGGCGCTTGAATGGGCTCGGGCCTTCACGTTGGCTCAAATTTTCCGTGCCGCAAGTCGGACGAGAAGGAGGAGGAGGAGGAGGAGGAGGAGGAGGAGGAGGAGGAGCGCGACGACGACAATTGCCAGCGGGAGATATGAGTCGAGGAAGAGGAGGAGGAAGATTAGTAGGAGGGGGATCGACAAGGAGAATATGGGGCCAAGTGGAAGATGTGGGAGGCCACCCTTCGAAGAAGCTGGCTCCGCCTACACGACACGTTCACAAGGAGCTTCTCATAAGCGTTTCGGGAGCGTTGCATCGACGTGGAAGCAGACATGGGTATTTGAAGAGTGCCACCCCCCTCGCTGTCTCATTCCGACTGTCACCAGGACGAGAAGGGGTGGAAGGAGGAGGGAGGAGACCGATGAGGAGGGGGAGCAGTGGCAGCTGAAGGGGAGCAGGAGGTGGAACAGAAGAAGAGGCAGGAGCAAGAAGACGAGGAGGAGGAGGAGGAATCGAATGTACAGTATGGTGCATGGTATCGAGGGAAGGAAAGAGAAACACATAGAGATGGAAAAGGGAGAGGGAGACATATGTATAGAGAGAGATAGAACCAACAAGAGAGAGAGAGAGAGTGGAGAGATGAGGAGGAGGATGGTGAGGAGGGAGCAAGGAGGAAGGGCGATGAAACGAGAGGGGGGCAGGAGGAGCAGGAGGAGGAGGACACAGGGGAATAGGAATGAGGAGGTGGAGGAGGAGAAGGACGACGACGAGGGGGGAGGAGGACGACAGGGAGTGGAAGCGAAGAAAGGATACTGAGAGAGGAGAGAGGGGAAGAAGCGAGAACGAGGAGAAGGAGAAGGAGCTGCAGCAGCAGCAAGTCTCCGCTCCCTCCCCGCCCTGTGGGGGTAGCGAGGAGGAGGAGGATGAGGAGGAGGAAAAGGAGAAGAAAGAAGGACAGAGGGGAGGCCGTCCTCAGGGCTCCAGAGGTCCAACGGGGGCCTCGAGTGCTTCTAAAGGAACCAGTCCTCGAACTTCGATCCTCACCCTCCCTCCCCCTACAGTGAGCGGCTTGAATAAGGAACACTAACTTTTCAAAAGGGGCTCCGTTGTTCTTTAGGCTTGCATGCGTTATTCATCGTCCCCTATACGTTATTGATTAGTTATCGTTCCTTCTGCGTTACTCCCTGGAGAGAGAAAAAAAGGGGCTTCGTTCCTTACTTATCGTTCCGTAGGTCAGGCCGATGACAGTACTCCTCCTCACTTCCTCTGCCTCCCGCAGGACAGCTGGCGGCCCCGCTGGTCCGCCAAAGACCCCCCCGCGCGCGGTGGCTGGGCGGCCGCGCTGGAGGACGAGAACCGCTCCCTGCGCGAGGAGACGTCGTCATCGCCGACGTCGCCGTCCTCCTCCTCCTCGTCCTCCTCCTCCTCGTCCTCCTCCTCCATCACCACTATCAGCATCATCAGCAGCATCATCATCATCAGCATCAGCATCAGCATCATCATCACCATCGTCATAATCATCGTCCTCGTCCTCGTCGTCATCCTCGTCCTCATCCTCATTCACCTCATCATCCTCCGCATCATCATCACCGTCATCCCAGCAGCAGCAGCATCTCCACGTCCTCCTCCTTCCCCTTCAGGCAGGTTTGCGCGCCGTGTCGTGCTCGTACATCGACCGAGGCCGCCCCCCGCCCCGGCGGCCAGCCGAGCCCCGGGGAGGGCGGAGGGCCGCTGCTCTCCGAGCCCCGCGCCGCGCCGCTCTCCTCCCGAGCCCGCCCGTGCCGCGCCGTGCCCTGCCCTCCCCGTGCCCCGTCCTCCCCGTGCTCCCCGTCCTCCCCGTGCCCCTCCCCGTGCTTACCAGCCTGGAGCATATCCCTATCCCTATGCTGGGCACCTCCTCATCACGATGCCCATCTCAGGGATTCCCTTGTCTTTTGAGGGCGCATGCCTGAGATTGTCATCGCCTTTTGGCGTGTCAATCTTAGGGACAGGGATACGTTCGAGGCTGGTAAAGTGCCCCGTCCTCCTCCCCGCGCCGCGCCGCGCTCCTCCGCCCCAGCCTCCCCGCGGCCCTCCACGAGCCGCGCGCGCCCCACTGCAGCGGCGCCGTGCCGAGCCCCGGGGCCCGGCAGCTCCGGCGGGCGGGCGCCTGCGGCCGGAGCGAGAGCGGGGCGCCTCGGATGGTCGGGGGCGGAAAAGACGGGGGTGATGACTGGGAGGGGGGTGGATATCATGGCGGGGGCCATGATAATTCCCCAGATCTCATGGCGCCTCTTCTTATTTCAGTACGTCCCTGGCCCCCCCGCTGGGCCGCGCACATGCCGCCGGTCATGATTTGCACCCCCCCTCTTGGACGCCCCCCTCTTGGCCGCTCCCGAGATGGGGTGCACCCGGGGAGCCGAGCTGCGCCTACCGCGTGGCGCCTCGGTTGGGATCGCTGGGCTTCCCAGAGATCCAACGCATTGAAAAAATCAAGACGGAAGTTCTAAATGTTCGGCCTCTCGCGGCCCTCGCCGGGCCCTGGGAGTGTCAAAAATCGACTCAGGATGAAAAACCGGTCCTGGGGAATGGGTCGAGGTTTCCGGGGACCCCGCCCTGAAAAATCACGACATCGGATCTCTGGGTTCCGGTCGGTGGAGAGGCCTCCGAGCGAGGGCCCCGCCCGCCGTAGGGGGGGTGGAGGGTCCCCTCCGGCGCGGGGTCTCCTCTGCCAGCGCGGCGGGCGAGGGCGGCGGGGGCGGCCCGAGCGAGGCCCCCCCTTCTCTGTGCGGGCCTCCTGGGCTGGGCTCTCGGCGACAGCGCGCCCCGGTCCCCCGTCCCCGCCCGCGTCGCAGCCTCCCCCCCTTTCTGCCGGGCGGCGCGGCCACCGCGGGCTCGTGGGCGCCTGTGCAGCGGCCTCGTGGGCGCCTGTGGTGCGCCTCCGTACCTGGCGTTGCTGTGGGGGGGGGGGGGGGGAGGGACGGGGGAGGAGGGCGCTTCCACTGCTGGCTGGGAGGCGGGGAGGGGGACGAGGGAGCAAGAACGTGCGGCTGCTGGCGCGCGGCCGCAAGCTTGCTCACCCGCGGTGGACCGCGCCTTCCCCCGGCCTTGCTTCAGTGCGTGGCGGCTCTCCACCCATGAGGGCATCGTGCCGACGAATGCCAGCACCTGCAGATCTGTTGTCTGAAGGTTCTTGAGTAGCCAGCTCATCTCTTCAAGGTTACAGCGTTCGACATCGCCTCGGCCGCAGCGATCTGGCTCCTCCTGCGTTCTTGGTCGATGAGCCTTCGGCTGTACAGGTCTTTGATGATGCTCATGCGCTTCAGGTGTTACTCGTGGATCTCTTGGTGTAGCGACATGTGAAGTCCAGAATGAGGAGAACGTTGGGATCGGTGTTGGTGTTGCCGGCGCTTCGGTGCCCGCAACGCTGTCGCCGACGTCCTTGTGATTTGTCCTCGCGCTCCCACTTCCCAGAGGCAGCCAGGCCGTGATTTTCGGAGGTTGCTATTGCGTCGCACCCTCCATGCTGCCTTCTTTCTGTGATCCGTCCACCGAACCATTGCCATCTTGTGAACTGACGTGCCGCCCGTGGTTGCTAGAACGTGCCGCTGGGGTAGTGTCCTCCAGGCTACTTCCCTGCGAGCCGTAAATAGAACCAGCGCAGCTTTGAGATCCTGGGTTCAGTTTTGGTTATGTTCGGCAAGGTGCTACCAGGGTAGCACCCCTTCAGCCTACCACCTTCATGTGGGATCCCCGCCGCGTGGATACGAGGGATGTCCCAGTCCTGGTGCCAGTTAGCGGTGCTTATCGTGCAGTGCTCGTCCCCCGCCGAAATCCCTCCGCCAATCCCGCCTCCTCGTCATCGTTGTCCTCGTCGTCCTGGTTCCCTCATGCTCATCGTAGCCCTGCCTCGGCCATCCCTCCTCATCCTCTTCTTCCTCTGCATCCTCCCCCTTCTTCTTCATCCGCCTCCTCCCCCTCTTAGACGAGCCGTGCGTCTTCTCAGGCGCGCTCTCTCTCTCTCTCTATCTCTTCGTTTTCATTATGTACATATATGTATGCCTATAAAGCTTTGTTGACTCAGTTGCTTGTACATTTGTGTGCATAGATACATACATTATGGGGACGTGAGGGGAAGAGGAGATGGAGGAAGGAAGAGAAGAAGGAGGTGCAGGAGGCAGAAGATGAGCAGAAAGGGGGGAGGAGCAGGAAAAAGAAAGGGGGGGGGGATGAAGTGGAGGAGGAGGAGGAGAAGAAGGACGACGACGACGACGCCGGCAACACCGACGATACCGATGACGAACGACGACGACGATGACGACGACCACGATAATCAGCAAAGACGACGACAATCAGGAGCAACGGACGACGACAACGAACGACGGCTAAAGCGAATGACCAACACCGAAGGTCGAACGATGAACGGACCACCCACCGACGTCCACGAACGACGACGACGACGACGACGTGGACGACGACGACGACGGCGACGACTACGACTACGACTACAGCGACAACGACGGTGGACGGACCGAATGACTGGCCGACCGACCACCGACCACGGATAACGACGACGAGAGCCGCTCTTTGCGCGAGGAGATCGGCCGCATGCAGTCGGCCACGGTGGACTCGTTCCACCGGCGACCGATGGCCGCCATGGCTGGAGGTGGCTTCCGCGGGCCCTGCAAGGTGACCCGCAAGTGCATGTGCGAGGACAGGGGGCTGCCAAACCAGCGGGGATGGGGAGGCTGGCCGCCTCTTCCCCGGGGGAGGGTGCAAGGGGAGGAGGAGGAGGAGGAGGAGGAGGAGGAGGAGGAGGAGGAGGTGGAGGTGGAGGAGGAGGAGGAGGAGGGAGGAGGAGAACGAAGACGATACAGGACGAGGAGAATGGAGGAAGAGGGGGAGGACGGGGGAGGGAAGATTACAAGTCTGTCTGCAGCAGCAGCAGCATCATAGCCCTCTCAGTGGGCATCCACTTCGCGCCAGAGGCACGGGGGCGGATTTTTGGTGCTAGCGACATCGCTGGCGGGGTACTGTTTGCTTCCTGGGGTTAGTGCAGCCGCCAGAGAGAGGCTCTGCGTGCGCAACGTGGCAACGTGCCGACGCTCCAAACGCGCGAGATCGTGGTGGGCTCTGTCTACCAGTGAGAGGAGAAGGAGGAGGAGGAGGAGGAGGAGGAGGAGGAGGAGGCGGAGAAGGAGGAGGAGGAGGAGGAGGAGGAGGAGGAGGGGCTCGGGGAGAGGAGCGTGAACCTGTTCGTGCGCTCCGTTGCCCTCATGCACGCGAGTTGCACTGAAATCGTGAAGCGGGTGCGAGGGAAGATAGTGCACGAAAGAGAGGGTTGGGGACGTGTACAGAAGCATCAATGACGTACTCGGTAAGGGATGACGGTATCATGGCGGAGGGCTTCTGGGAAGAGCACCACGCCACGAACGAGATGAATGCTTCCACCGACAAGTCATTCCGGCTTGTGAAGTTGGAGTTCGGCAAGCCGCTTCTGAGGGCGCTGTAACTCCAGAAGCGCCAGCCCCAGCCCCTCGCGTTTCCCATGAGCTGCCCAGGGCCACCCGTCGTGCGGCCGAGGCCGATGAGGAGGGAATGGGTGGACAGTGAGACGATGGACGAGCTCTGGGCGAGCCGCATGAGCAGTCTTACAGTGGACTGGCGATGGCGGGCCGCGCGACTCTGCGGGCGCTCGAGGCCGCGGGGCCTGGCCAGAGGGCCCCTCGGCGCCCTCGCTGCATCAGTCGTGTGGCCCTGCGCCTTGGACGGGCCACCCGGCCCCGGTGGGGAAGTCACTTGTGGGGCTTAGGCGATGGTCTGGACATCGGTCGTTGGGGGCACCCTTGCGCGCAAGGGCGCCCGGCCGTCGCGCCTTGCGCTCTCCAGCTTGCCGGGAGGCCTGCTTGCGCGATGGCGAGCCTCGGTCGGGAACTATTGGATGGCGTGTCGCTCCGCCGGCTCTGGCCCACCGCGCTTTGAAGCGACGCGTTGTCCACGTCCCGGTCCCTTCCATCGACTAGACGTAAGAGTGACCTTTCGCCGGAGTAACCTTTGGTGCGGGCACAGATGGGCCCCCATATGGCCGAAAACGGAGCAGGAGCAACGGCTTGCGTGCCCAGGTTTGGTCCCCCCGCGGCCCCCCAAAAGCCGCGCACCAAAGGTCACTCTTACCCAGGGTCACTCTTGCGTATAGCCGATTCCAGCCAGGCACCTGCCCCCCGTCCGCCCCGAGATCGGCAACGCACGCTTTCCGCGGAGCTCTGCGCGGTAAGCATGGCCCTCACGAGCGCAGCGCCGCCCCGCAGCATCTCGCTGCGGCTGCCAGGCGGCCGCGGACGGGGGCGGCCGCGAGGAGGGGGGCGGCGCTCCCGCCCCCTGTGAGGGCCCGCGGTGATCCGCGGCGCGGGTTTCGGTTCCGCCGAAAGGGCGCGTGACGCGTTGCAGCACGTTGTGTGCCAGAGCGTCATTGTCATCTTCATCTGACACCGGTGCCGCCGCCTGTCTCCGTCGCGCCCACCACCTAGGCTCGAGGCTTTCGTTGGTGCTTCGCTGCTGGCAGAGACAGCCGCGTGAACGGCATGGGCGACCTGGGGCCCAGAGGTACGCGCAGCTCGCACGACGCAGCGCGAGCCAGGCGAGCGCTTTTCCCAACCATCCTATGGTGTTGGGTTTTCGTTTTGACGAGGCATCCCACGTTCCCGCTCCTCCTCCCCCTCCTCCCTGCTCCCATCCCTTGCCTCTGCCCTCCGCTTGCCCTCATCGTCGTCCTCTTGGTGCATGCAGCTCCACTTCCATTTCGGCGCACCCCTCACATGTTTCGTGGCCCCAGTTTGTCTCGCTCGGAGGCGTGCGCTCTGCTCCGTGCCATTTTGGCCAGGTGCCTCGTTGGTGGTGCTTCGAGGCCGTGCAGCGCGGTCGTGCCCTCAGGGCAGCGCGGGGGCAAACACTTCAGAGGAGGCTGGCGCAGCTTTGGGAGAGGCGAGAAAAAAATGTTTCGTGGCCCCAAAAGGTGCCCCACCGAAGGCCCCAGCGGCAGGGTCCGCACGCAGTTCCGCACCCCTCACAGGCTTCGCGGCCCCGCAGGGTGCTCCGCCGAAGCTCCCAGCGGCAGGGTCCGCGTGCGGGTTCCACCCCCATTTCGGCGCACCCCTCGCGCGCTTCGCGGCCCCATAGGGTGCTCCGCCGAAGGCCCCAGTGGCAGGGTCCGCATGCAGTTCCACCCACATCTCGGCGCACCCATCGCACATTTCGTGGCCCCAAAAGGTGCTCCACCGAAGGCCCCGGCGGCAGGGTCCGCATGCAGTTCAGCACCCCTCACAGGCTTCGTGGCCCCATAGGGTGCTCCGCCGAGGCTCCCAGCGGCAGGGTCCGCGTGCGCTTCCACCCCCATTTCGGCGCACCCCTCACGCGCTTCGTGGCCCCCCTAGTGTGCTCCGCCGAAGGCCCCAGTGGCAGAGTCCGCATGCAGTTCCACCCACATCTCGGCGCACCCATCACACACTTCGTGGCCCCATAAGGAGCTCCACCGAAGGCCCCGGTGGCAGGGTCCGCGTGCAGTTCCGCGTCCATGTCGGCGCACCCCTCGCACGCTTCGTGGCCCCATAGGGTCTTCCACCGCAGGCCCCAGTGGCACCATTCGCACCCGTGCCCGCCACACATTGCGGCGCACTCCTCGCACGTTCCGTGGCCCCATAGGGAGCTTCACCGAAGGCCCCAGGGGCACCGTCCGCATGCGTCCCCACCCATGTCGCCACACCCATCACACATTGCGTAGCCCCATGGGGAGCTCCACCGAAAGGTCCCAGTGGCACCTTTCGCATGCGCTCCTGAGATCCATGTCGGCACACACCCCACACGCTTCGTGGCCACATAGGGAGCTCAACCGAAGGCGATGCCCACAACTGCGATACTCACAACTGCATATGGTAGAGTTGTTCGCCAGGTTATGTTTTTCTGGCAACAGGCTAGCTGGCAAGCACGCCAAGCAGGGCGCAAAGCTGACCGAACACACGTCTTGGCAGAAGCAAGCGTACGGTTATAAGAGTCACCTGCTGGTAGGTGGCGCTGTGGAGATGCTGTTGCTCGGTTAGGGGCGATGGCGTTGGACGTCGCGGGCGCGACAAGCGACGCCATCGACGGCAGCATCCCGAATGCGGCCGTCGAGACGCACCCTGCTCCCCCCCTGATGCCTCCCACTCCCTCTTTGGTGGACAGCGAGCCGGCGGCCGACCCGTCAGGCTCACACGCGGAAGGCGCGCTGGGCCACCGTCCGGGCCGCTATTGTATGTTGTCACGTCACCTTTGCGCCGGCAGCGTGGGGCAGGGCATCTGTGAAGAAGCCCTCTGGTGAGGCGAGTCGGGCGTACAAGGGTCGGCCCACGCGTTTGCGGGAGGGCGCAGTCTCGGCCAAGTCAGGAGCTCCCTTGCAGCTTGGCCTGCTAGGAAAGATAGTCATCTCACTGCTCTTGCTGTGGACTGAGTTCTCGGCCGCAAAAATCGACTGAACCATAGAATGCTCCTCCTCCTCCTCCTCGTCCTCCCCCTCCTCCGCCTCCTCGTCCTCCCCCTCCTCCTCCTCTTCCTCCTCCTCCTCCTCGTCCTCCGCCTTATCCCACTTCCTCCTCCTCCTCCTCCCTCCCTTTCTTCCTCCCTCCTCCTCCTCCTCCTCCTCCTCCTCTTCCTCCTCCTCCTCCTCCTCCTCCTCTTCCTCCTCCTCCTTCTCCTCCTCCTGCCCCTGCTCCTGTTCCTGCTCCATTTCCTCCTCCTCCTCCTCCTCCTCCGTCCTTCCTCTAAGACGCCTCCTTCCAGCGCAATGCCAGGTTTCTGCAACGGACTGGTCGGCAGCCAGAGCAGCGCTCCGAGATCTGAGGCTGACTCGGCCCGAAGATCATAGAGATGGAAACTAGGGGGGATAACGACGACATCGATACGTCGCGCTCCTCCCGCCTCCCTCCCCTTCTTCCTCTCAGGCAAGCGCAAACATGGATCAAGGGGGCGTGGATTAGCGATGGGTCCCGCTTCCGGGGGAAATCGCGGATTTCCACCGCTGAGCGAGGCGGCACCGGCGAGGGCACCTCCCCCGATCCATGGATTTGGAGACCGCGTGCCAAACCTCAGGAGGGAAAGAAACACACAGACACAATTAATCCTCGATTCCCCAGAAAATATGGGGAAAATATGGGAAGTGGGGTGGAAGACAAAGACCCAGAAAATATGGGGAATCTTTTTATTTGTGTGTATTGATTTGTGTGTCCTGGGGCCCCTTCAAAATCCATGGATCGCTAATCCATGCTTGCGCGCCCCCGACCGTCCCCGATCGGTGCGCGGGCGCCCCGCCCGGCGCGGCCCGGGGCCCATCGCTGGTCGGCCGGAGATGCGTCGCCGACTCCAGGTCCATTACCCCTCCCACCATGGACCAGAGGGGGAGTAGGAGGAGGAGGAGGAGGAGGAGGAGGAGGAAGACACAGCGATCCCCCGATGTTTGCGCGCCCCCTCCTCCCTCCCCCCGTTGCGCGCAGCACCGAGAGGCCCCGCTCCGCCGCCCTTCTCTGGCCTTCGGCCGCCCCCGCGGAGGAGCTCCAGGCGAGGCTCGCGAAGGCGCAGGCCCTCCTCAGCGAGTCGCGGCGGCGATCCTCGAGGGACCACCTGCTGGGGGGCGTCGAAGATCCTCCTCCTCCTCCTCCTCCTCCCTCCTCCTCCTCCTCCTCCTCCTCCTCCCCCTCCTCCTCCTCCTCCTCCTCCTCCTCCTCCTCCTCCTCCTCCTCCTCCTCCTCCCTCCGCCTCCGCCTCCGCCTCCGCTCCTCCTCTACCGCCTCCTCCGCCTCCTCCTCCTCCTCCTCCTCCGCCTCCTCCTCCTCCTCCTCCTCCTCCTCCTCCTCCTCCTCCTCCTACTCCTCCTCCTCCTCCTCGGGTCGCCTACGGCACCGGGGGAAACCGTGCACCGGAACCGAGCAGCCCGACCCCAGAGCCAGAACCGTGCTGGGGGGCGCCGAAGATCCTCCTCCTCCTCCTCCTCCTCCTCCTCCTCCTCCTCTTCCTCCTCTTCCTCCACCGCATCCTCCTCCTCAATCCCGTTTCCTTCTCAGCAACTTGCCACACTCGCTTCAGAAGCTTCCGACGCCCACTCAGAATCAGGACGGCCCATGCTCAAAGTTTGGCTATCGCCGTTGCGCGCGCAACGGTCACACGAATGGGGGGCGGCTCCTATCCAGAATTGGCATCTCGCTTGGGGGTTCGACCATTACCCGCTAACACCATAGTCGAAAGGCAGCTCCTCTTCAGAGCGGGGCTCTCGTGAGACAGATCCTGGCCAGCTGGGACACGAATTGCAGATCTGCATGTGTGACGGGTCGACGGGAGGAGGGCGACCATCTTCAAAACGGAACAATCGTCCCAGACATGCTCGCGTCGTAAAAAAATCAGGACGGAGGTTTTTCGTCGTTTTCGGCCTCTGGAGGCCCTCGCCGGGCCTCGGGACCGTCAAAAAACGATTCAGGACGAAAAACCGGTCCCGGGGAAAGGGTCGGGACTTCCAGGGACGCCGTCCTGAAAAAATCAGGACGTCGCATGTCTCGGGTTGGAATGGTAGGCACATGGGAGTGTGGCTTCCCACAGAGAACAGGAGTGCCTGCAAGGACGTGTGCGGAGGCCGGCTTTGGACAGGGGGATGAATTGCGGCAGCATCCTGGACTGCAGAGGTTTCGCGGCCGGTCCGGCCGACATGGAAAATGGATCAGCACGGACGAGAGAGGCGTAGGGGGCGGGGAAGGGATCAGAGGGAAGGGGTTTCCTTTCGACTCGATTGTGGCATTGCTCGACGTGGGCAGATGAACAATTTGAACTCGTATGAAAACCGATGGTGTTTCGTTGAGTGGGCCTCTTGGGCCACCCCCGAGGGCCTCCAGAAGAGCCCAAGAGACCCCGAGGCAGCTTCAGCCCAGGCCCACGGCACGTTGTGAGGCAATAGTGGGGGCTAGAATTCCCGAGCCACGCTACACGCGAGCTCCTTGTCATGGGTTGTCCTTCCACACCTCCCTCCACCGCCTCCTTATCCACCTCCTCCTCTTTCTCCTTATCCACCTCCTCCTCTCCCTTCTCCTGTGATTCCTCGTCATCCTCCTCCTCGTGTCATCCCTCCTCGTCCCCCCTGCTCTCCCCTCGTCATTTCCCCTCTTCCCCCTCCCTCCATCCATCCTTGCATCCGCCCATCCACCAGTCCACCCACCCATCCCTCCTTCTCCTCCCCCATACCTCCGGCTCTCCCTCCTCCTCCTTCTCCTCCTCCTCCTCCCCCCCCTCCTCCTACTCCTCCTCCTCATCCTCCTCCTGCTCCTCCTCGTCCTCCTTCTGTCCTCCCCCCCCTCCCTCCCCCCTTCGCCCTCGAAGGATCCGCCCGCCGTCGCCAGGGAGCTCTCCGACCCTCCGCTGCCGCCGGACCCGCCAGCCGCACCAGGCGGCGCGGCCGCCGCGGCCGAGGTGGCGCGGGTAGACCGTAGCGACGCCCACCGAGCCGATAGAACCGCCCCTCCCCAGGAGGAGGAGGAGGAGGAGGACGAGGACGAGTAGGAGGAGGAGGAGGAGGAGCAAATGGGAGGACGGAGGAAAACATTGTCGTCGTGGGCGTCGTCGTCCCCCACTCCCTCGTCCCGCCTTGCCACTCCTCGTCCTCCCTCCCTCCCTCCATTCCCTCCCCCTCAGGGGGGGGAGGGGGAGGGAGAGAGGGGGGAGGGAGCAAGGTAGGGAGGGAAGGAGGGAGGACGATGGGTAGCAAGCGAAGACGAGGAGGCGGGCGACGACGACGACGACGACGCCCACGACCTCGACAACGTCGTTCCTCAATCCTCCCTCCTCCTCCTCCTCCGCCTCCTCCTCCTCGTTCTCGTTCCACTACTACTGCCACGACGATTTCTACTACTACTACTACTACTACTACTACTACTGCTGCTGCTGCTGCTGCTGCTGCTGCTGCTACTACTACTACTACTACTACTACTACTACTACTACGACGACGAC